GTACCATATGTATATATATTTTCTTCTTTACTGGACTATTTGGCAGTAAGTTGCCATTACTTTTCATTTCTAAATACTTCTGAATAAAGTGCCTAAGAATAAGGACTTTAAAAAAATACAGCTACAATATTATTACCACCATAGGGCAATTAACCTACGTGAACTCATCAATTAATTTTTTAATAAAGTTTGGGATTTTTTTTTTTTTAGAACAGCTTGAGGCACACAGAGTTCAGAGGGTTTCCATATGCCTTCTCCCGCAAACACAGAGTCTCCCATATTAATGTCTCACATTTATTTGGGCTCACAGTTTCTGTGGGTCAGTCTGTGGCTGGCTGGCTGGCTCCAAGGCAGAAACAGCATGGCAAAAGGCCATGACTGAGGAAAGCTGCCAAGCCCATGACAGCTAGAAACAGGGCGAAGGGAAGAACCGGGGCTAGGAACACACCCTTCCAGGTCACACCCACCTGTGACCCACCTCCTAATAGCACATTTCAGCTATGATCATTGGATTATTCCACTGATGAATATAGTGCCCCCAGGATCCACTTACCTTCAAAATGTACCACCTCTCTGAACTCGTGAGGCTTTGGGAGGACATTTTAGATCTAAACCCAAACTATTCTCTAATTGTGGAGTTCTAGGAATTCTTTGTATATTTTGAACAATAGTCACTTATGAAGTATTTGTTTTGCAGTATTTTCTCCTAGCCTGTGGCTTTCCTTTTGATTCTCTTAATGTCTTTCAGGATTGTAAGCTTTTTAAATTTTAATCTTATTGTTTTATTTATTGTTATTGAATTTTTGAAACAGAGTCTCACTGTACAAGAGTGACCTCAAACTTGTGATCCTTCTGCCTCAGCAACCTGAGTGCTGGGATTACAAGTGTGTACTATCATGCTCGGCTCCAGAAGTTTTTATTTTTAGTGAAATTTAGCTTAACAGTTTTTCGTTCATGAATTACTTTTAATGTTATATCTAAAAACTCACTGCTAAACACAAGATTTTCTCCTGTATTATCTGGAAGTTTTATAATTTTACATTTTAGGATTGAATCTATTCATAATGAATATATTTTGTGAAGAGTGTAAAGTCTGTCTAGATTCTTTTGTTTTTCCCGTGGATGTCCACTTGTTCCGGCATCCTTTGTTGAAAAGACAGTCTTTTCTTCACTGATCGTATGGCCTTTGTTCCTTCAGCAAAGATAAGTTGACTATATTTGTGTGGGTCTGTTTCTATGCTCTCTATATTGTTTCATTGTTATATTTGCTGATAATTCTCCAATATACTGTCTTGATTACATAGTTTTATTGTACATCTTGAAGTAGGATAGTGCTCTCCAACTATATCCTTCAGGATTGTGTTGTCAATTTTTGGGTCATTTACTTTTCCATATACACGGTAGAATTAATTTGGTCAACATCCACTAAATAACTTCCTAGAATTTTGATTGGAATTGCATGAAATCTATACCATAGGTAAATGTGAAAGTCTTTGTGTCCATAATGTTTCCTAATATATAGGTTGTATTGACACAAATTTAGCAAGCAGAAATGGAACTGATGATATGCTGGTACAATTATACACATTTTTTCTGACTCATTTTAAAGCGAGTTGTAGATTTAAGACCACACTCCTAAATTCTTGAGAAAAAATCTCCTTATAAAAACTGCAGTATCAGTGCCACACCTAGGGCAATTAACACTGATTCATTAACTACCTCTTCTTATCAAACATTTTTTTTTTTTTTGCTTTTTGTTTTTTAATGCCTTTTCTCTTCTGTGCTAGAGACTGTGCCATATTGGGATCTGAAGACAACCAAAGTCCCTGCTTTTCAGAAGTTCACAGACTTCTGGGAAGACAGACATCTAAGACAGTGTAATAAGGGCCCTAGTTGCATTCAGAGTGTGTGAGCAGAAATGTGCTTCTAGAGGGATGAAGATAACTTCCCAGAAACCTGTTCCCAGGCCTATGATTCACCATCCTGCTCCTGATGGGCATTCTTCCCAGCCTAAAGAGGCTTATGTCCATTTATGGGTGAAGGACACAACAGACAGGATGTTGTTACCTCCCTCAACTCTCTATTTCTGTGCGGCCAGGACTGACCAGCACAGAGGAATAAGGAGTAGGAGTCTGAGAACCAGACCAAGGAATGAGGACTTTTATCCTTGAGGTCAGCTGCACTGAATAGACATGCGTTTGCCCATGAATGTGAAAGATCCATACTAACTGTGGTTACTCAAGACAGGTTTTCTTTTTCATGTGACAGTCAGCACATAGCTGACCAAGGGTTACAATACTGGCTCAGATCCCAAAATCCCCCATGCCTCCCTATTCATCCTCCCTCCCCACTGATCACTCTGTCTCTAATTTTGCCTGGGTCCTGAGTTTGTGGTGGCTAATGGGGCTCTATCATTCCCTCCATATCTCAGCACTTCCACCTTCCAGGCAGGAGGGTAGAGAAAAGGGCAACGTGCTCCTTTACTTTTGTTCACGTGCTGGAAATGATACACCTCTCTTCTGTCCGCACCCCACTGGTTAGAATTTATTCATGAAGCCATACCTACATGCAGGTAGGTACTGAGAAACACAGGCTTTATTTGGAAAGCCATATACCAAGCTAAAAATAGTGAGTTCTGTGTAAGAAGGGGAGAGTGTATTGAGAAGCAACCTGCAGCCCTGATATCCCAGCAGTTCTATAAAAAAAAGCCTTCGATAAAATTAGTGCCTTCAGATGCTCCATGAAAATAGGGTATTGACCAGATGCTTTTGGGAAACATTAAGCAATATGTTGATTTCATCTAGATTTTCAATGCTGAGTGGTATGTTGATGGCTCTGACAAGTCCTATAGAAAAGGCATGCATGCAACTTTATTTGACCTAAAATAATTCAGCCAAAACCCCCTTTTCGCAATGTTGTTTTCCACCATTTTTTTGGAGACATGTAATGACATTAGCTTTAGAATCACTGATAATTCCTTTGCAGTGACGCAAATGTTTTTAAAGCTGTTCAGAACCTAGTGATGAAGTCAGCAGAAATGTGTGCATATTGTGAGTCAAAGTTCATACAGAAACGGAACGAGCAAGGGCTGTAGTTGTTGCAGGGACATGATGTTACATCATTGTGGGAGCTGGTGAGGCAATGTATAGGCTGTTGTCTTTATATTTGATGGTGGAGCTCATAGTCTGCTTGGCACAGTTTGAAGGAAGAGTCAAGTTAGGAAGAAGCTGGAACTCATAAGATAGACAGGACCCCGGATCAATGTGTCACTGCCTCTGATTTTTGCGTTGTGAGTGTGGGTGTCCTATAGGAGTAGCTGGTGTCCTTGCTGTAGACCTGGAATAGGGCCCCAAAACCTTTATAATGTCCTTAGCTGTCCTGGTACAGTCCAGAGGGAAAACCCCTCGGGACTGTGGTAGTAATGGACATGGATGGTAAGAGAAATATAGGAATGTGGGGGGGATCTTGATGCTTTAAAACCTGAGACTTTATTTCCAAGCTCACCTCTCTGAGTAATTTTTCTTCTCTTTAACTAGTAAAATGCAAGGTTGTTCTAGCTTTTTAAGTGAAATTCATGGTTTTTTTTATTTTAATGAATTAATAAGTTGGTTGGAAATATGATTATTCTCTTGAAAAGAAACTTATTTGGAAGCCCTTTAGACTGTTGAGTATGTGTTGATTAATGTTACTCTAGGTATCTGCTGTGTCCTGAGATGACTGTGTACTGTATTTTCTGATGAATTATCCAAAAGCACTGTGGGCTATTATAGATGGTATTTTTAGTGTCTGGACAATTAGGATTCTGGGCGTTAATAAGATTGCTGAGGAATGAAATCTTCCAAGTAGCTTGGTGGTCAGTTATGAATTTTTTGAACTTGCATGAAAGCAGTGATTATTCTATTGAGTTCTCAACTACCTGTAGGTTGCATAGCTACTTGTGCAGTCCTCAGATTCCCTCAGTCTGGAGGATGCCTGTTGCTGCATCCTAAAATTCTACCTTACCTTGTATTAGATCCGCCTAGCACTCACCCCTTGAATTATAATTGCTGCTGTCTTCTGTAGCTTCTTGTTTATCTCTGGACTGAAATCTCTTTGTGATCAAGTATTATGTCTTCTTTTACTTTGTATTTCCAACATCTGTCTCAGTAAAAACTCAGTGATCAGTGACTGAGTCCCCAGATTCTGGCAGCAAAGATAGTTGAATGCCTACGTTTTGTTTTTTGTTTTTTGTTGTTGTTGTTGTTTTTTTTTGGTACTGGGGATTGAACTCAGGCCCTTGCGGCTTTCGAGGCAAGCGCCAGAACCACTGAGCTAAATCCCTACCCAGAATGCCTATGTTTGAAGAAAGAGGAGAGAGAGGGAAGGCAGCAAAACTTCGCTCATCAGGGAAGGAGAAAGAGATTCAAAATAGTATTCCATCAGGGAAATCAAGGAAAAGGAGGAGAAATATTTGAGGAATCAGCAAGTATTTTATAAAGGCAAATGACAGAATTTTTTTTAAAATAGAGTTTTGGGATTTGTCTGTTATTAGTGGCTATAAAAAGGTGAGATGAAAATATAGATCTCAAGTGACAAGGGAAGAGTATGAGATAAGATGGGGAAAATATTTTGAGAAGTGAGGCCATGAGAGGAAGATTTGGAAGCGGCTGGGCAGAATGGCAGAGCTAGATCAGCCTACTGGAGGAGGTAGCTTTTGAACAGTGTTTGACCAAAGCAGCAGGAGGTTCCTTCCCTCCCAGTCTCCTGTTGTGGGAAGTGACTCCCTGGGTAAAGGATGAGCTAGCCTGTGAAGGTCTCCAGTATGAGGCTAAGTCAGTAATGCTTTTTTTTGGTGGGGGGCATACCTGGGATCGAACTCAGGTCCCTGCGCTTGCAAGGCAGCCAGCGGAACCACTGAGCTAAATCCCGGGCCCATAGTAACGCATTTTGGTGAAGCCACATGTGCTAAGTACTCAATCTTTTGTTTGTTTGTTTCAACTTGCATCTTCCCTTTCCCACAGGAAACATGGTAGAATGGTGCTTACCTCAAGACATTGACCTTGAAGGCGTTGAGTTCAAGTCTATGGCCAGTGGGTCCCATAAAATCCAATCTGATTTCATGTAAGTACTTCCAAACCCAAGGTTTCTTGGACCGTTTCCTTTCCTTCTCACTCCCCATACTTTTTCCAGGGCATAAGAGATCTCATCAGAGGGCTCTTCAGGTAGTCTCTGTAGATGCTCTGAAAATACAGTATAGTTTTATTTGTATCAGTTTTCTAGCAAGAAGGTCTCTAGCTTTCTTTCATCAAGTTCTCAGTGGACTTCATGACTCAGAAAAGCTAAGAATTCTTGCCGTAAAGCTTCTCTGACTTTCTGAGAAATGTGGCTTTACTTGAAGTTTGGTTTTAGTGAAAGAGTGAAGTTGTAGCACATTGTGGGTTAGGACATCTGTGTGCTGAAACTTGAAGTTCTCATGTGTTTTTTTGTTTTGTTTTGTTTGTTTGTTTGTTTTTGTACCGGGGATTATACTCAGGTCCTTGTGCTTGCAAGACGGGTGGTGGAATCACTGAGCTAAATCCCCGGCCCCCAGTCCTTGTTTTTTTTTGTGTGTGTGTGGCTCAGTACTGGAAGTTGAACCCAGGGTCTCTACATTAAGCTTTTTTTTTTTTTTTTTTTTTTGGTACCGGGGATTGAACTCGGGTCCTTGCACTTGCAAGGCAGGCCACCGAACCGCTGAGCTAAATCCCTGGCCCTAAGCTATCTTTCTTAAGACAAGGTCTCACTAAGTCACTCAGTTGCCCAGGCTGGGCTTTAACTTGAGATCCTCCTACCTGAGTCTCCCAGAGTGCTGGGATTGCAGTTGTGTGCCACCATGTAAGGTTAGTTTTGGGTCCTTTATAATTGGTGCCTTGTAAGTTTTGTGAGGAGGAATGAATGGAAAGAACCTTCAGGATAATTCGGTAGCTTTGGCTTCCTCACTGGGCTGAAACCATGACAGATAACAAGTGGGAAAAGGAGAAGAAAACAAAATGACAGCTGTGTAGAAAACATCAGAGGCCCAGGAAGTAAGAGAAGAATCATCATGGTTTATGCTAAGAAAACGCACTACTGGTTTTGGAGGGGCCTTGGTTTTGGTTCTGAATCTGACCATCCTTGTCATAAACTGTGGTGGAGGAGAGGGGGAGGCCTGTGTCCACGTTCATGGGCAGTTGGATGGCAAGCTTGCCAGACCTCAAGCCTGATTAGCAGGGCGAGTTCTGAAGTCCCTGAGATTTGCCTGCCCCATCTGTGAGGTTCAGAGGTTTGTTTCAAGGCTGAGCTTTGTTACTTAGAGCTCTGTGTACATTTAAGTTGGGTTTTGTTTTTTTTAAGGGATTGCATTTTGGAGAAAAATAAAATACAATTTTTCTTCTGATTTCAAGCCCAGTACCTGTTTGGTATCTTTTAGCTATTTTCGAAAGGGACCCTTCTTCGGCCTGGCCTGCTTCGCCAACATGCCTGTGGAAAGTGAGCTGGAGCGTGGTGCCCGGATGAAGTCTGTGGGTATCCTGTCTCCTTCCTACACCTTGCTATATCGCTACATGCACTTCTTGGAGAACCAGGTTCGGTATGTGGCTTCCACACTTGTGTGTGTGGGTGGCGGCAGGACTGGCCAGCTGGGGTGTGTGTGTGTGTGTGTGTGTGTGTGCATGCGTGCGTGCGTGGTTCCCTGAGACAGCAGCTGGGTGCCAGGACCACAGGTGCTCCTCCAAGCACACCCTTGGCAGTGGGTCAGGCCTCTGGTGGCATCCTTCATTTCAGCCAACAGGCTGTGAAATACTTCTTCATCTACGGTAAGTGCTGGGGCAGATTATGTTTTCAGTTTATATTAATATTGTCAGCACTGACCCCTTCTGACAGTTTTCAGTTCTACCAGTAGCTGACCATGGTTATGGACCATTAGGGAAAAGCTATGGTAAAATCTATAAGAGCTCAGCTAGAGTTTTACATTTCTTAGCGAAATTTGTTCTTCAAATTGTCTCTTACAGCTAAAACTAGAAAAACTTATGACAAAGTATCAGACTTAAAGATAACTTCTATCAGTGAAAGAATCTTAAGTCCAGTGGGTTCAATCACTATTTCAGTTTCTAACTGTGACTTTCTCCCCAACCTGCCCTTTCATTCTAGTGTGCTCATACTTAGTTTATGCATACTCTAATTTCTTAAAAGTTTTGTTTTTTCTTGCCTGAAGGCTGCCAAGCTCCAAGCAGTCATGCAAATGGAATCAATGACAAATGTGCTAGACTTCTTTTACTGGGATCCACCAGATCGACCTTGTAAACAGCTTATAACTGCTAAACTTTACAACTTCTTTGTTGGATTCTGAAGTCCCCTGGACCTTCACCTTATCCTCTTTGTGAGCTATAGTCATAGCAATCCTGCAGCCATTATAATTTAGCCCATGCATTCTTAACTGTTTCTATCGCTTTGTCTCCTCCAGATTTAAAAGCTATGCAGCTACCAAGATGACAATGCCAGGCATCTACTGAAGGCCTTTAGATAGACCCTCAGTAGAGTAACTCTAACTGCTGATCATAACTACAACCCTCTTCAGCTGGAAGTAGCCAGAGCTGTCTTTGCCCTTTGCCACCTCACAACAGTTAGGGGTACTTCTTCAGAGGGGGAAATATTGAAGATAGGTAAGTTAATTAGATATCTTATAGGCAGTTAGACAGGGCCATCCTCAAGGAGCCAACACAGCAAGGAGCCAACATGTAGGACAATCAAGACACATTCACTGAAGGCCAGAATTGTAAAAGGCGAGAGACTCCTATATCTTTGTGCTTCCCCTGGGGATAAATAACAGTGATTGATACACCTGCATAGGGGGCCAAGGTCTTAACCCAGCCTTTCCAGGAAATATCCCTGACCCCCCCACCCTTACTGAAAATCCTTGTAAGCTTGCAATGTGATTTGCTCCCCCATTTGATTCCCATTTAATCATCATTACCTGAGTGACTGTATTTATAATCTTACTGGTTGGTCATGGTTTTGTCCCAGTTCATGCCCACCTTGTAATTTTCCATTGAGTCTTTTTTTTTTGGTCCTTGGGATCAAACTCAGGACCTTGCATTTGTGAGGCAGGCCGCAGAACCACTGAGCTAAATCTCCGGCTTCCATTGAGTCTTATAGTTGTGTCCCACTTTGTACCCACCTCCCCACATGGCTTGGCTATATAAAACATCTTGGAGAAGTGGGGTGAAGGGACAACCCATTTTCCGGTCCCCCTTCTGACTCTCTTAGAAGCTTTCTTTCCCTCAATAAATTTTCCCTACTCTTAAGAAAAAAAAAGGCAGCGCTTTTGTTAAATTAAAGAATGTGTTGATTTGTAAATGCTCTTTGTTTACCTTAAGCCTCAGTAATTGCCTCCTTGTCCCAAGTGGGCAAGAGGACTAAACTCTAATGTCTAACCACTCCTCAATATTTGTGGTAAGAGAAAGAGTGTCTTTAACAGGAGCAACAAAACTATAGTTACTATATTTTTTTAAATTTATTATGCAAGCAACCTACTTACACTTCAGATTGTGAAGGAAGAAATCTATCTTTACTTCTGGAAGCATTTAGCACATTTACCTCTTTTCTGAGACATATGTCTATGTACTTTTAAAAATATATGCGATAGCCAGGTGTGGTGGTGCTTGAACCCACAAGTTTGAGGCCATTCTGGGTAAACAGGTGAGACACTATTTCAAAAAACACACACAGCATTGGTAAGGTATTTACAACTTTGTAGCCTATACTTTTAAAATACATAGTTAAATTTAATTTTTTTTTTTTTTTTTTTGGTACCAGGGATTGAACTCGGGTTCTTGTGCTTGTGAGGCAGGCGGTAGAACCACTGAGCTAAATCCCCGGCCCTATCATTAAAGTTTTTATAATATCTAATCTATCTTATCATCTTTGAAAGAACATGAAATTGTAGAAAAATGCACTTTAAAATTTACATAAAAGTACAAAAGGATAAACTTTCAAATAATATTTAGCCATTGTCAATATCATTATATTCTAGAATGAACTAATTCCATAAATAGGACTAATAATTTATAAAAATTTCCTCCTGAAAATAGCCTGTTTTAATAAAATATATGTAATATAGTTGTACCTGTAGAGATAAGAAAAACTTGGTGTCCCATAAGCTTTACATGGTTATGCCCTATGACTAGTATTTAGCATGTTTCTTTTTGCTTAGCACTAGGGATTGGATCTAGAGCCTTCTCATTGAACTATATCCCAACCCATTAAAAAGAATATTTTTATTGAAATCCTGACACTTTAAAAAACTATTCCTTTAAGAAAAATTAATTTCCCAAATAGTATATTCTCGTGGTTCAAAGCCTAAACAGCAAGGAAGTATTAAAAGTTCTAACTAAACAGTAGTAAGGGAGGCCAAAAAATGAATGATTCAATTAAGATAGAGGATTTTTTTGTCCCTCAGTCTATAGAGTCAGGCAGGTGGTTGGGCTGGGTCACCTGCTGTGTTCATCTGATTGTTCAGGGCCCACCTCTGTTCTCTTATTCCTTCACACCCTGAGAGTGTTTTTTGTATTCTACTTTGTTACTGTCCAGATGTGCACCGTTACCACATCTGCATTCCAGCCCACAGGAAAGGGGAAAATAATGGAAATTGCATTCATCACTTATCAAATTCTCAATCACAAAGATAATCCCACCCTCCCGCAAAGTAGATTAGGAAACTGGTCTCTCCATAGGTGACTCTGGGAACACATAAAATTTTAGGATTTGGGTTATAAGCAAGAAGAGGGAAATGGATTTGTAGGAAAAAAAATTACCTCTGCTTTTTCAGAGGCCACCCAGGTTATCTGTGTGTTTCTCCTCCCACAGCAAGGGAGACAAGGGAGCCCCATCCCGTTGCCGCCCACAGGCTGAAGTACAGGATTTCTGTGTGACACTCAGCAGTACTTTGCATTAGACCATGGCATGGCTGTCCTTACCCTGAAGATCCATAAAACAAGGGACAAGTGCTCCACTTTCCACCTCCCAAGTGCCATACAGAAGGTAGGGTAGGAGCCATAGTGCAAGCTGCTCTTTGGAAAAGGGGAGATGGGCAGATAGAAGCAGTCATTAGTCACTTGCCATAATGACATTCTGCTGAGTGTGGATTGTAAAGATTCCTTGTTCTGGCAGAGCAGTTTGCTCCTGGCTAAACCTAGGTGCTGCAGCGTAGATCCCCTTGTCCATTTTCCTCTGTAGCTCCTAGATTGTTGTTTAGGAGGCTCTTTTATCTTTCTCCAGAGCCACATCTGCAGAGGCCCAGGAGAACAAGCCCTTCTTGAGGCTGCAAGCTTCAGCTTCAGAACATACTTCTGCTGGAGCAAGTTGTGGATCTAATGGTTTCTTTAGGACTTGGAAGGCCACAGGCGTTTATCGGCCAGGCATGTGACAATATATTCCCTTCAAACACTAAAGTGGCTTCTCATTGCTCACTTCAGTCATTTCCAGGTCTCAACTCCCAAAGATCTCTTCTAGGTCATGGTTTTTAAGTCAGTGGGCTCTAAGTTACATACGGGTCTCTATTCTTGGCTCATCCCCCCTTTCCCTCATGTTGGCATCTACTCGGAGGCAATACTGTAAATTTGATCTTTACAGATAGGCTGACTCCTTTGGTTCCCGAAGAACAGTTAACCAGAAACTTTCATTGCTGCATCAAGAGAGACTCTTACCTCTTGCTTTTTAGGTACAGAAGCATTGGCTTTTCTAGCCCCACAAGGCCCCAAATTATTGAAGCCTCAGTTGATTTATTATTGTAAAATTTAAAATTCACTGCCCTTAGTAAGCTGAAGCTGGCCAATTCTATTTTCCTCCTGTAGTAGCCCACTGTAATAGCAACGAGGGGCAGTCAACCTCCATTGGCATTCTGTTTCCAACTTCTTCTCCTAAGACTACAAATTCAAGTGGTACAAGGTCTCTTGCAACTTACTGAAGTTTTACCAAATCTTTTCCCTACATTTTTAACAAGAGCTACCAGCTTTCTCATCTTTGGTAGTTACTTTTTTCCATCACCTTCCTCTTTTGACTTCTAAGCCAATGACACAGTGCAGTTTTGATACTAATTTATTTGTGGGTACCATCTTCTATTCAGGTAAAATACAGCCTACGTTACTGTAACACAGTGAAAACCCAAAAAACTGGCTCAAATGAGATACCAGAAAAACTTTTCTGTATGACAGTCCTAGAGGTAGAGAAGCAGCCCAGTGTGGGTGGTGACTGTTGCACTAGACTTTATGAGGTCCAAGTCATTCTGTCTTATACAATTTCCTGGAGTGATGTTCTCAGCCATGTGGTAGAAGCTGACTCACTATTATCATCTGTATTCCAACCAGCAAGAAAGGGAAATGACATGGAAATCTCAAAACCTGAACACATTACTTCTGGTCACAGTTGTTTGTCCATTCTTTTTTTTTTTTCCTCCCCCATTAAGTTTATTGGTACATTTAAAGCAAACAATACAGTTACATTTACCATTGGGATTTGTTTTTGTTGTTGTTTTGTTTTTTGTTACCAGGGATCGACCTCAGTACCTTGCACTGGCGAGGCAGGTGGTGGCAC